CGACATTTAGTTTGCAATGTTGCACCCATAAGGTTGAGTTTGTCTACCTGCACATGCATGTTTATACCACAAGGGGGCAGATCTCCTGATGGTTCATCATTGTTTCATGCTGGAGATGAACAGAAGAAGTGTGTCTGTGTGTTGTGCTTGGAGATCGTTTGAGATGCTGACATCTTGCACATGTGCCTTGTGGAATTTAATAAATGAACGTTTTCTACATCTATAATACCCTTGCGGTCTGAGTGGTGTAACAAGAGCATATAATAATTTGTTTTGATGTGTGTTCCCCACAGTTATGACTCCAACATGGACGACAGCAGAGACAACAAGAAGAACCGTTTCTCCAACACAATGGCCTTCATGGAGGAATATCTGAACAACGTCCTGAACGATGAGCTGCCCTTTCACAACGAGGAGAAAAACAAACTCACATACGAGGTCAGCCCTCACTCTTTTACTTCTATTCCCATTTTACCACTTTCTTAATCCATCAGTCTTGCATTTTTTGTCTCTGATCACTCCCTCTTCTTTTCGGTTTTTTCCAGGTGGTGAGTTTGGCCAGACATTTGATCTACTTTGGTTTCTACAGTTTCTTTGAGCTGCTCAGACTCACCAGAACTCTGCTGGGCATCATCGACTGTAGACCCAACCCTGGATATGCTGGGGTCTTATTCCATGATGATGGATCTGGTACTTAATGCACTAATACCTGTTAACCTTTATCTTTTCTTTTACATTATGTTAATCTTCATTTGTCTCACGTTACCTGCTTGTTCTTTGTTACATTTACAAAAACATATTCGATACACATTTCCAGACGTTAAAAGCCGAACATTTTGTTGCATGCATTGACTTAATTCTAAGGATCTCAAGGGTCTTCTTCATATGCTGTATGTGTTTTTTTTCTAATGGATGCTATGTAGAAGTTTTAAAGTCAACCAAGTAGTTTTGCTTTTTTATTCTTTCAGACATTTTTGTCACTCATCATTTCGTCTCCTGACTGGTGTTGACTTTGAGAGTCTTTAAGAGTTACTGTTTTGTGTCAGCTAACTGTTTAGTCACTGCTACTGTTACTTGCAGTCGCTAACACATTTAAATATAGGTTAATTTCCTTCACACCTAGATAACGCCCTGGCCTATCACTGCTTAAAGGGGCAGTAACTGATGCATTTTCCACTTCGAAAAGTCCCCTGTCTTTGCCCCTTTGGATTTAGTCCAACCAACGGTAATAATGCAGACCATTGCTTTCTGTTCTTCCCTCCCGTCTGAAGGGAAAAACGTCAAGCGCTCCATACATGGGATGGGTCAGATTATGTCCACCATGGTCCTGAACAGGAAGCAGTCCATATTCGGAGGTGCAGGAGCCAGAGGGGCGGGGGCGGGAAATGCGCTTGAAGGACAGAGAGGCAGTAAAGATAGTATTGAAAATATGGACCTGACTGTGATGGACACCAAGCTGAAGATACTGGAGATATTACAGGTAACTTATATTACATATTAATTATATTAAACACACACTCAATGCCCACCTTGTTAGGTACACCTGTACAATATGTTTTCTCTTGCTTATTAACGCCTCCACTGTTGATGATATAAGCAAGTTTGCAGTTTTCAAATGTTTCACTTTATAACCAGGATTGGTGCCTAGTTGAAGCAAGCAACACCTTTTTCTAAAGTGTTAATGTTATAGCTTCTCCTGTTTTTTCTTTCAAATTGTATATGTCCAAACTAGGAACAGCTGCTTTAACCCATAAACATTTTTTTGCTCTTCATCAGTTCATCCTGAACGTTCGTCTGGACTACCGCATCTCCTTCCTGCTGTCAGTGTTTAAGAAAGAGTTTGTGGATGTTTATCCCATGGCTGATGCCGACGCCACCACCAATTTGGAGCACGCAGGTACACACAGAAAGCCAATGGAAACACACTCTTTCAGTTTGTTTTGGACTGAAACCCTTGATAAATATCCAAATGTGCTTCCTGATTTTGTTTTTACTGTAAAGGGAATCTGCCTATGTAAGTGAATGTTGCATATTCAGTCCTATTGTGTGTTTAGCAATTACATATCAACGATTTTATATTTGATTGCTCTTTGTACTGCACTTTTAGTGTACAGTTTTACTCTTATGCTGCTGTGTTTATTATATTTGTGTAACTCTGGCACAACAACTTCCTTCGGGATGAATAAAGTCTTATCTTATCTTGTCCCTCCTCAGCCACCATCAACCTGCAGCACATTGGAGAGCAGGCTGAGGCTATGTTTGGAGTCGGGTATGTCATATATGTAAAACCTTGATCAATATTGAACAATTATGGCTTTTTTTCAGACATTAAAAGAAGCACATAGATATAAAGTGTGTGTGTGTGTGTGTGTGTGTGTGTGTGTGTGTGTGTGTGTGTGTGTGTGTGTGTGTGTGTGTGTGTGTGTGTGTGTGTGTACAGGAAAGGGAACAGTATTTTGGAGGTGGATGATGAAGGCGGTCGGATGTTCCTGAGGGTTCTGATCCACCTCACCATGCACGACTATCCTCCTTTAGTCTCTGGAGCCCTGCAGCTGCTCTTCAGACACTTCAGCCAGAGACAGGAGGTGCTGCAAACCTTCAAACAGGTACACACTCTCACACACACACACACACACACACACACAAACAAACAAACAAACAAACAAACAAACAAACAAACAAACACACTCAAAAACATAGTATTAAAAGCTCATACTGACTTAGGGTTAGGTCTGGCTATCTGCAAGGTAAAAAATAGAGATTAAATACAATAAAAATTACAATAAAACTATTTCAAATAAAGTGAGAAAATGATATAGTAACTGTTGAAACGGATATCACAGTAAAACGTTGGTCATAACATAACGAATGGACATATATACATATTTGGATTGTTAAATATATTTGTTTGTGTGCAGATGTGAGTGCAGGTTATAATACTGTATACAAATACCAAGTGAAGTAAAAAAGTAGAATAATAGCAGTAAGTATCGTATAGTATTCTTACTAATTTAAATTAAGTATACTTTTAAATATAAGCCTATGTCCTATAATCAATTACAACATTTTGATCTCTTCCAAAAATGACAGAAGAGTTTAGTTTAGTAGTTTTATTAAAGCAATAACAGTTAAGCTAATGTAAGGTACAGTAACAACCATCACCACCCTTAAACAACCTCAGATGAATGTATGATTGAATCCTTTCCTTGAACTATGCCTTACATAACATAACATATCCCAAATCCAAATAATTATTTGGTGTTGGATGTCCTTTTACTGACCAATTTGAGGGCCATATGACTACAACTACTCTAGGGTTGGATTACGACGGTCATTTACTCACCTCTTTGCATTGGCTTTTAATACTAGTTGAGTATAACATTTTGATATTTGTATGTATTTTTCTATGTCTCTAGTTATTGTGTTTGTTATCTTGTTTTTAATTATTGTACTCCTATTGTGTTATTTTATGTTTGTTCCCTGTACAGCACTTTGGTCAACTGAGGTTGTTTTAAATGTGCTATATAAATAAATAAAGATTGAGATTGATTGAGAACGATTTAATCTAGACCGATTATTGAATCCACTTCACAAATCTGGATCATGTTGAATCTGTGGAAGTGGAATAATTGCACAGAAAGATTGATTGACCGACTCACTGTTTGCTGGACGCTCATGTTAATCCTTGTTTTTGCTCCTCCACAGGTCCAGTTGTTGATCACGTCACAGGATGTAGAAAACTACAAGCTGATCAAGGCGGATCTGGATCGACTCCGAACGCTGGTGGAGAAATCTGAACTGTGGGTGGAGAAGAAGAGCTCAGGTGGAAGCGACGGGAAGAAAGACAAGAAGGACAAGAAGGAGAAAGGGGAGGTGGGGAGCAAAAACATCATTATTTACACCTTTATTTTCACTAAAGGCATTAGTATTTATAACATAAAAGAACAGATTGTCTGGACATTAAACAGTTTAGGTTCCTGTTTAAATTGAACACCAAGTACATTTTTGGGGAAAACGTAGACAAGTTCCAGGAACAAAGAGGAGGTGGAGAGTGCAGTATCACCAGCATACAGCACTATGTTGAGAGAGAGTTTCTAGATGGATTTAGGGCCAATTTTATTTCAAAATGTTTAAGTTTAACACTCCTTCATAACTAATGGGTGAGATCTTCATGTCTAGATGGCTGAGTGTCAATAACTACAATACAACTAACACTGTACAACCACTAACTCAAAAGCACTACTTTAAGAAGGACCAAAGTAACAAGAACCATTTTCTTGGTTGAAGATTAACACTAACAACAACAAATATATATTTATTTTGAACCTTTGCATCCTGTACTTACCGTTGGTGTGGGGCTTGCTGATGTCTCAGACGCTGCAACGATATGGTCCTGGGTTCAGATCTGGCTGTGGGCTTTTGTTGCATGTCACAACTCCATGTCTCTCTTTATTGTTTGGTTCTACTGTGAAATGTAGGCAAAATGCTCCAAACCTGTTCTAATACTACCATTTCATCATTGTCTACTATTCTATACTGCATAACAAGCCATTCATATCTAACAACAAGTAATAAGGAATCTGGGTGTGGTCCTAGATAACAAACTGTCCTTCACTGCAAACATCCAGATTCCTTATTACTTGTTGTTAGATATGAATGGCTTGTTATGCAGTATAGAATAGTANGCTGCAGCTCTGACTACTTTCAAATCCAGGCTGAAGACTTTTCTTTTTGCCGCTGCTTTTAATTGAACTATTCACATCTTACACTGCACTGTAACTTTTATTCATGTACCTGTGCTATTCAACGTGTTTTATGCTCTTAATGTCTTTCATTTTTGTAAAGCACTTTGAATTGCCTTGAAAAGTGCGAAATAAATAAACTTGCCTTTGCAATATATATTTTTTTGGCATAGTTTTGGAATTCCTTTTGCACCCTGACAGCAATGAATAAATCAAAGCCTCTGTTAGAAATATAAACAAATATAGTATCGTTGTAAGATTGTAATTAGTCCATTTGTGACAGACCGAATGTGCACTCTTAAGATAACCTTGTTTTCTGTTAATGTGTGAGTGGCTTTGCAGGGAGGCCTGAAGGGACGATCTGTCAGGCTGGGTTCAAAATCTACAGTATCGTACTCTTGATAGTTTCTCTTAATTTCTAACCCCATCTTAAATAAACTTTTAAACCCAACTTCTGACGTCCCTTGCAAAAAACAGCATTATATATATTCAGGACGACTGAGTGGTGTTTTGCAGCAGAGAGCATGCTGGGCCTGACCTGCAGAGACGTGCTGTTCTCAGAGAACGGGGAGCTGAAGAAGGAGTGGATGGTGTCGAACACCACGTTGATGATGTATTTCTCCAGGATGGGATCAGTGAGGCGCTTCTCCCGCTGGTTACACACCTGCAGAGGAGACAGAGGACATCAGGACACACAAAATACAACTTTGAGGCCAACGTACATTTCATTTCTGGAAGTGATGAATTATTGACTGATTCACACGAAAAGTACTAGTATTTACTGATACTTAGCACAGGGCAGAATCTCTCTCGCTGCATTATTAATAGTCACCAGGACAGAGCGGTTACCCTGGCCATGTCCACGGTGAAGTCCTCAAACAGTTTCCAGATGTGGTTCGACGTGTAGATTTCCTTCATCTCCACCTCGGTGTCCACGTAGCAGTGATTCACAAAGTTCACGTACGCCACCTTCACCTGCAGACAGAGAGAGAGACGGGTCTTAGTGTCAATAATGTATAACTTTAAGTGGCACTTTTTGACTGTAACACATAGACAGAAAGTCATGCAGATAATTGACGCGTACAGCCTTTATTTGAGGTGCAAAAGGTTAAAAAACGACACCTTTTTAGGAAAAAGAACATACTGTTTTGCGGTATACTATAAGCGCTTTGTGTGAAAGTATTCATGATAAAGAACTATTTTGAAAAAAACGTTTCCACCGTAGTATTTTCCATTTGTATGTAAATTGTTCCGGTATAGGCAGATTACATTATAGCAGTGGGTGGCAGTATCTACATTTCCTTTATAGAATATGGAGCTGAAATACAGCACGTTACCTCGGTGATGCAGTCCTCGTGCGTCACCACTCGCACCACGTCCTCCAGAGGAAGCAGAGACGTACATTTGATCTCCGTGTAAACGTTCTTCCCCTCGGCGCACGCTGCCAGCAGCTCCACCAGAGAGATGTGGTACCTGCAGAGGGGGGGGGGTATTTAACAATCAAAGGTATGATACTGTGAAGCTGTATATTCTGTGTGTGTCTCAAACCTAAACCTGAACAAATAACTAAACACAGCAGCTATATGATGTATTACCTGTACTTTACAACGTGAGATAAGTAAGGTTTTGTATGCAGGACTTACCTGTAGAACATACTACAGAGTGGTATTATCCTGTAGTATTTTGACTTTTTATTTGAATTATTCAGAATATTTTATATTGTTTTGTTTATATTGATTATATTTGATATAATATTTTTCATTTTATTTTTGAATTGTTAATTCTCTTTTCCACTTTTTTAAGTATTGTATTTCAACGTCTGAACACACTCTGCTTCTGTGACGAAATAATCTATCTATCTATCCATCTATCAATGCTTATAATATTAAGCACTAATTTTTATTATTTTACACACTGTAACTTTTATTCTTGTGTCTTATTCTATTTTATTTCTGTCATCTTGGCTCTTTAATGACTGCTCTTAGAGACAATTTAATGTGTTGCTATTGCAGGAATGGGTAAACAATATTATGTGTGAAATACAATTGTGTTTCATATTGTGTATTTAAAAAAAATAATAATTTCAACCCCTAAATTCAAAGTGTCTGTCTATAAACTGGTATTAGTGATATATAGTCAAAGTATTATTATTTATGATTTATTTGCATTATTTTGTGTTATTATTATTATTATTGCGTTTGAATGATTTTAATGTTTTCATAAGAACTTGTAATGTGCCTTGCCTGCCTGCTTGTCTCTTGATATCCCCCGTGTTTACCTGAGTGGGCTGCTCTCCCCGACCCCCTCCCGGCTCTCGGCCATCAGGTCCAGCATCACGTTGAACGAGGCCTTGTCGTTGTAGAAGACCACCACGTCCTCCCCGGAGTTAGTGAGCTGCAGAGAGATCAGCGTTACATTTTATTATATTTTATTTTATTTTATTTATTTCGAATGTGTAAAACAATAATAAAAATTAATTAAAAAAATTAAACATGTGAATTATTATACTATAGAAACTTAAGCAGTCAAATTGATCAACAAACATATATTACTGATTCTAAATTATACATAAACAAATAATCTACTTAATTACACATCCGAAAAGGGGTGGGATGAAGTTTACACTTATTTAACCCCTTCTCCCAAAAACTAAATTATTAACACATATTTTTTTTTCTTCTTAAAGAAATACATTTGTTATTGAAAAACAAACAAACAAAACAAAAACATCAAATAAACAGATAAATAAACAAACAAATACATAACAGGAAACACTTCTATAATTTCCAAGTGTCCCAACCTTAAAGAGTGCGTTGAAGACCTACATTTTTAACAAAGCCTTCAGTTAGAGCTGGCATTTTATGGTATTTATTTAATTGTATTTTTATGGTAATTAATTTGAAACTTTTATGTATTTTTATTGTCTTTTCTTGTATCTTATTTAGTTTTATTTCTATTTGTATTCCACACACTATCTTGTCTTCTCATTTTGCTGTAACTCCATCAAAGTCAACTTTATTGTCAATCTTTCAGTTTGTGTGTACAGACAGAGAGATCGAAATACCGTTTCCCACAATCCCGAATGCAAAATAAAATATATATAAAAAATATGTATGTAAATATGTATATCCTATATATACACAATCAAAAGACAGATGTATACATATGCATATATTAAGACATAAATAAAAGCACAACAATCAATATATACAAAATAACAGTCACTTCAATATCTTTGAGAATAACATTAGTGCAAGACTGTCCATAGCAGAGTGAAAAAGAAAAGAAAAGTGGACAGTCTCCATCATATCAAATGTTGCTGTTTGTTTTTAATCAGAGGCCTGTACTACGAAGCAGGATTTTCGGTTAGCGAGCTAACTTCAGGAGAAAACTCTGGGTTTCCGGTCCTACGACGCGGGGTCTCTTCTTAGCGGGGTAGATCTCCATGGTAACTTGTGCTGAACGCCTAACCTGCTCCGGAGCAGGTTTGCACATACTGTATGCCGAAGTATTATTTTCAGCAACACGTTAAGAACACGTTAAGAAAAACTCAAATGCAATTAAAGTCAGATCCACTCGTGTCTGAGACGGGGCAGCGATATCATAAACCTGTTAATGTACGCATTCAAACACTCGGCAGTTTTTTTAAAGGTTTTTTTTTACAAGCTGTTCTGTATTCACCTTGCCGGTGCAACTATGTGGCTTTTATCCTGATTTATCTGTTTAAGTCATGGATGTTTAAAGTTTAACTTCTTCATATTTGTCTAACGTGATAGTTTACTTTTCATTCATGAAGTATATTGACGCTGCGCTGTCAGTACGCTTTTCCATGTTTGTGATTGGTCAAATGTTGCTAACCCCGCCCCTTTCATGTGAACGCGCTAATAGCCGGACAGAGAAACCTTGGCTTGAGTTAACGAGTTGATAACCAGCATCGTAGGACCGCTTAGCGAGATCTCGTTTGTTAGGGTTAGTTTAGCCAGATAACTCAACCGTATCCAGGGTCTGTTGAACTGGATTCGTAGTACAGGCCTCTGTAAAGCCCACTGAGACCAACGTGTTTTGTGATAAATAAAGTTTGATTTGATTTGATGCAGCAGTGTTTCTGTGTCTGTCCTCACCTCGGTCATGATCATGTCCTGGCACTTCTTCACGTACTTGCCCTCGGCCTTGATGATGGTGTGCAGGAAGTTGAGGTACTGCACGTGGCGACCGTGCGTTGCCAGGCAGTGGATGAAGTGCTGCAGGACGCTCTCTGAGATCTCGCTGCACAGCTGGTAGTTGTTGCTGAAGATGTGCTGCACCGTCTCCGCCTCCAGCAGCTGAAGGCAAGGCAAGTTTATTTATATAGCACTTTTCAACCGAAGGCAATTCAAGGTGCTTTACAAAAATGAAAGACATTAAGAGCATAAAACACATTAGAAACATTAAAAAGCAAAGATCATAAAACATGAATAACACAGGTACATGAATAGTTACAGTGCAGTGTGAGATGTGAATAGTTCAATTAAAATTAGCGGCAAAAAGAAAGTCTTCAGCCTGGATTTAAAAGCAGTCAGAGTTGCAGCGGACCGGCAGGTTTCTGGGAGTTTGCTCCAGATATTTGGCAGTATCTCTAGCCAGATTCTCACATTCCTCTACCCCTAGTCTTCCCGTGAAAACAAAAGGTGTCACTTCTGTTCAATCATTTTCTCATTTAGTTTGTGCCATGTCAAATAGCTCTGACCAATGTGGACATGATTATGTACTTTTTTTTGTAGTTTTAACCAGCAAATATTGGCATGTCTTTGCAATGATCTCCATTATTTGTCTTTGTTTGTGTTTTATGTAAAATGTCAGAAACAATGGAAGGAGACATCCCCAAGTTGCTTTTTTTCTCACAGACAATCAACAACACAGTTCATTTCGAGTCAAGTTATTCAAAAAGAACATCACATTTGATAAACTGGAACCACTGCTTTGTGTTGAACATCTTAAACTACAGTAGCAAACAATCATCCAAACTGTATTTGATTTATTTTCCTATTCCTCTGAACCTGGTCAGTTATGAGCAGCGTACCCCCGGGTTGAGGAACAGGTTGAGGTTCTTGTGCAGCAGAACCTGGTTCTCCCGGTTCCCTGTGCAGAACTTCTGCAGGAACAGGTGAGTGTACTTGATGATCTCCAGCATCTTCAAATCACTCTGCAGACAAACAGACAAAGAAGAGAGAAGGTTGACATTGAGAGGACTCTGTTTTTATCTTGTTGAAATGATCTTTACTCAAACCAAAGTCCCAATGTGTGGCTAAGTAACATCTCTAGGTAGGTGTGTGTGAATGTATACAGTAGATTTGTGTGAGTATAGGTATTTGCTGCATGTATGTATTACACACATATATATTCATCTAACAATGTTCCTGATAAATAATAATAATGAATAATGAGGCAGTGAATGTTTTTGTTCTTTGCACTTATGTTTTCTCTTTGTACATACAATCAGTACAGGCCACTGTCTCATTTGTACGCATATATTTTCCATCTCTAAATGACAAACACTGTTTATGCAATGTCGAAACACAATAAAAACATTTTTGATCAGAAGTAACATTTCTAGAACAATGCTGTAATTAACTTTTAGGTTTTAAATGATATGTCTAGAACCTTTAATCATAAAGATCAGTCCTGACTCAGTGATTCTGTTGAGGTCCCACCTGGTCGTAGGACACCTGCAGGAGGTCCAGCATGACTTTATGAGCGCCCATGTTCTTCAGGAGCCTCTGCTGCTTCTTCCAGACTCCTGTGCTGCACATCTTATTCAACCTCTCCAGGATCTACAGAGAGAGAGGGAGCACCGTTACAAGAGGCAAATATAGGAGCTACATTTGTTTTCTCAGTCAGATTATTAAACTGGTTAAACGGTTTTAATAAACATAACTTTTCATTTACAAAGTTAAGATATAAATAAATAATAATGACATTAAAAGGGTATCTAAATATGTTATGGGTTGAGGTGGAAATAGATGAATATGACATGCTAGAACTACTTTACAATCAAGTCAAAGCAAATGTAAAAAAAGAAAAAACGTATATACTGTATGGCTTTGTTTTTTACTTGAACATTTACAATTGCCTAAATTATTAACACTGTAAAGGAATGGGTCATTATGGCAGATATAGAGAAAATATACTAATATAAACGTATCCATCAAAACATTAACACATTTTATTGTTCAGTTTTCTTACCCAACTTAAAAAATAAGGTTACATTTCCAAAACTTCAAATGTATTTCAATTGTATACAGTTTTATTGTGCTGTGGTCAGTTCAGCAAAAACTTAAAGTGGACCTATCATGCTATATTTGAATAATATAGTGTAGGACCATACCTATATCAGGCATATTTATACTTTTCATTTTTCAAAATACCAAACAGATCATGCATTTTATCCATTCCTCATTTCGCTCAATTTAACACTGCCTTTCATGCTCGGATTCTGTGAGAACAGCACCATCTGGTGGCCTGAAATATGTACTACAGCGTCTCCAGCGCTTTCGAACGGCAATGTCCGTGGCTGTCTCCTCCTGATTGGTGGAGTTGGCCCAATAGCCGTAGCGCCACTTCTGTGACTACATAAAAGTGTTCAAATCTGGATCAGTCTGTATCAGATCCGTTGCAGCCCCTTTTTAAGAGATTTGGGTATGGAGGAAAATAGAGAGGGTTGTGTTTTCTGACACTTGGTGAGTTCCCTTGAACACCGGGGACACATATTCATGTATAAAAGACGTACAAAAGTGCATTTTGCATGATAGGTCACCTTTAAAATGATGTCAAAATAACATGCCTTCTCATTATACAACAAGAAAGAACTAAAAAGAAAACAATAACATATTATATTTTGGTTAAAGGTCTGCATTTCCGGCTGGGTACAGAAAAATTAAAGCAGACTTTAAAGCTTAAAAAAATAATCACGTTGGAACATAAGAAATGTATGATCACAATGGCATTGGGCTACAATCGTCAGAATATTGTAACGTTTGCTTCTGATTCTGAGGCCTAATAGGTGATTTTTGGGGCCTTTTTCAATATTTTCAGGCATAGAAAAATGTAATCACAAGGCGGACAGTTTGCCTGATTTGTTGGCAAAGCTTGTGAGTGTTGTTGCAGTGTAGTTTCCTATCAGGAGGAATGATTAGACACACATACAAGTCTTTCAATGAACATACTGCGTATTGTAAGGAGAGATTTAATGGATGGATTAAATGGATTCTTTATTTGAGACGTTTGCAGCAGCTGTAATCCAGACTGACTATGAGGGGAAATAATAATAAAACGTAATAAATTCAGCAGTGAAAAAGCCACCATTTCTGAAGAGACTGAGACGGAGCACCACGTAAAACTCTTCATCCACAAATACAGACATCACAGCCAAGCCCACAGTGATGATTGACAGGTGATCTGTTGGAAGCAGAAACACCACAACGAAGACCAACGAATAAAAGACGACCTCCTGAAGGAATACATGTCTACTCACCTCTTTGACTTTCTGGTAGTTCTCGTTGCCCTTCTCCAGCTTCTCTTTCTTGGGGGGAGTGTCCTCTGATGCCCCCTGCAGGGTGCAAACGGACACAATATGCAGTTCTCTCTGGGTATATTACTACAGTATACATACTTAAATGATACACACAGTATATGTGTTACGATTGTGAACGCATTTGGGAATTTGGGGTTTTGCATTTATGTTCATGAGGAGCTTCTCAGATATGGAGATGAAAAAGTTGATATTATGCGGACACCCATGGATCCTCATTTAAATCAAAACTAGATCCGAGTTTCAAAATAACCTATAATGTTGGGGAAGCTATCTTATATTAAGTATCTTTAATAATTTCCTAGGCATTAAAACAACCTCCTCCTGATATGTATTTAGCTGGTAGCAGAACGTTATTGTTCACAAAGTTTTTCTATCATTTGTATCTTCATTTTCAGCATTATTTCCAATTTCCAATTTATTCAGTAATTCGAAAAGGTCTTGAATAACAATCAACCTTAAAGGTGGGGTAGGTAATTTTGGAGAAACCAGCTCGAGTGCGCTAGAATTTGAAAATACACAACCGGAGAAAAATCTACCGCTTCCTTACAGAGCCCCTCCTCCAACACACACGAACGCGCACATGACCAATGAGGGCACGAGATAAGTTTGTGCACAGATGGAAGGCTGACAGGCAGGTAGGCCATCCAGTTATTTTAGCCGGGCCGGCTCAGATGATTGGTCGTGCTTTTTACAGCGCTACGGCTTCCAGAGATTAATTTGTGTATGTCTTTATTGTCAAAGCATTTAATATATTCATTGCTATCGGGATGTTAAGAGCATTCCATGGAATATAACAACAAGTGTTTCTGAAATAAATTACATACCCCACCTTTAAGGAGTTTTCTTAGGAAATTGGGGAT